TCATCGTATTACAAGCACACAGATTTCGACAAGATCTACAGCTTCTGCGCCAAACCGACCCCCGATTTCTCTCCTATCTTACGGCTCGTTGGTTGTACATCACCCGAAAATGGGCCATACACGCACAGTCCGGGATGGTTCATTTCGGTAATGTGACCGCCAACCGACTGGAGGATGCAAACGGGCGCCTCAAAGATCGTGCAAACCACTCCGAAACGTTGGAGCATGCCACTCAAAAGGTGTCCCGGCACGCCGAGTGGCTCATGCGGGAGTTTGAGATGCATACGTCGAACCATTGCGACAGGCGTCAAATCCTGGAAGATGACGCCTACGTTCTAGACGTAGTCTGTCAAATGACGAAATATGCATGCTTCCTCTCAGGCGATGTGACCCCCCTGCGTGCACCTGTTCTCTGTATTTCGAGATCAGTCCGTCCGGAGCAGTAAGAACTATTCACCATTGACTTTTTCTTAGCTTGCTTTCCAATCCAAACTTGCTTCCCAATCCACCAACGATGGCTGTCGGATTGCAAACTACCGGAAAGAGGTGTACCCCTTACAATTGTTCCCAAACCAACGCCGACAGCTTTCGACGGCCGTCGTAAACAATTTAACCGAGTGATGGACAAGCTGCAGAGGCTGGAACCCAGGAGGGCCACAGCCATGTTTCAGCGATTGATTGTTCGGGATAAAATCCTGTTGCGTCAGGCCTCATAGTCTGTAACCGACGACCTGCCGTTGGTGATCGGGGATAGTGCACCTCAACCCAGATGGCGGTCTGAGAACGCTGACTTGGGCTTTTGTGTGCGCTGTGATCTGCCGACTACTACCAGTGACCGCTGGCGTACAACGGATCGCGCGTCATATTACGCCGACTGTTGTGACGGTGAACCTTGCCCGCTGTGTGGTGGTTCTCTTCAGGCTTGTCCCATGAAAAGCGATTACTTTTGATTCTTAGCTTCTGGCCCATCCAGAAAACGCAGAGGTGTGCTTGCTACCCGGTCCGCGAAGAGGGCGTCTTATGATGTTGACCTGGACTGAAGCACAGAGTCCCGGCACAATGTGTCACGGAAGTCTGTGTGCATCCGCGTTTTCGGGTCCAGAGGGGAACTAGTCGACAGCTGTGAGTAAATGTCTGACAACTGCGACTAACGCTGTAGAGCGCCAGTTAGATTAGAGAGCCGGAGATGAATTCAAGTGACCCACCGGCTCCGAAAGCCTTGTCTGTTAATGCATTTCATGTAAGTCTCGTATTTCTTGAGAGGTTCTTTAAACAGGCATGCGAAATGGCCGCTGAATTTGGCATTGTGTGAACAGGCATCCGAGACAAAATAGTCGCCGGAATGAATTTTGGGGTATCTCTACCAGTTTGTTGGCCGCCCGCCTTACGGTGATACTTCGATAACCTGAACTATATCTTCCTCTCACTTCAGGACTTCAACGACCAAATGAACACCCCTCACGAAGAATAAAATGCGCCCCCCAGAAGGACATATGTGAACCTCAAAACGACCAATATATCTCAAAATTCAATGATGTCCATTTTGAGCCTTTTCTCCGGTGCAGATGGATGGGTGCGCTCCGGCATCATGTACCCCTAGCCGCATGTTAGTCGTGTGCGTCGTTTGGATTAGTTCAGCTGTCCGGTGTGATCGACGTATGTGGCTAGTTACTTGGGTATCGCGTACTCTTGCCGCATGTTAGTCGTGTGCGTCGGGTAAGATCGTTCAGCTGTCTGGTATTATCGAAGTAGGCTCTGTGTGGATAGTTAAGCACCGTGTACCCCTAGCCGCATGTTAGTGGTGTGCGCCGGTTTATATCGATAAACCTCGAGGTCTTTCTAGCATAAATCGAAACCTATAATGAAAAACTGTGGTTTTTGCCAGCAAACGTGCACGATGTTTAGCAAATAATTAGCGTGCACTACGGAATTTTTACTGGCAACGAATAATCATCGACCAAAATCTGTTTGCACGAATGCGCCTACGCATATGTTGCATCTCCAAAGGCCATTTAGATTCTAGAATGTTGAGAAAATTTGTTTCGGTGGAAAAATAACTGAAAGTTACGTTCATTGTATGTGAGTCAACCTTTTCCACAATTCGCGATTTTTTATCATCAGGTAACGTATTCACAGTTGGCGGTGTTTACTGACCTTGAGAATCTGCTCACCTAAGCAAATCGCCATAGTAAATGATTTTCAATAATACAGCAGCTTATACATCATACATGCACATTCTACACTATGAAGTGGCAAGCCTGAAAATGCCGTAGATTTCGAGAAATCAATCTCATTGTGCGAATAGCCGGTGGCTTTTTCTTGGCTTGTGCACAAATGCAATTGGAACGCGCGCGCTTTCTGGCTCGTGCACAACTAACCAGTCAGAAACGCCGGCTTGTGCACTAATCGCATGCCCCATTTTTGCTTGTTGTGACACTGGCCATCTACTCAACCGCTCAAGGTCACTCGTGGCCGGCAATGGTTTTCAGTTTTACTTCATATCAACCGACTTTACTTTTGAACTCATGCTCGCTGTTCCCTACAAGTTTGGAAATAAACCTACTATTATGGCATCAGATACTGTCCATTTTTAGTGACGTTGTCCTCATTTCGCGCGGCACTACTACCCGCAAATCGCCCAAATCATACTTCATTCTGACGGTAAACGTATGATCATGCTGACGGCATCCCACCCACAAGTTGGGAGCAAACATTATTATTATTATTATTATCATTATCAACTGCTTCCATGAGCATCATTCAGTACCGCGCACGAAGTGACGTGGAGTGCCCTGGCGTACTGGCTACTGCTGAAATATCCCCAGGGGTAACAGTTATGTCCCACACTCATACGTGTTGATAGCCATGACTAGCCCGTAAAAATATGTATGTATAAATTGTTGATTCGTGTACTGCTTCCCGGTTGGTAAATTCGGGCGCCTAACCGTTCTCAACAGTTTATGAGGGAGGCTATTATTTTCTTTACATTTCCGCCAGTGCGTTCAAATAGCTCTCTTCTTTCTTCATTGAAGTTGTATCCATTTTTATGAACCATAACGAGTGTATACACGTCCTGCAACAAATGATTTCGGAGGACTGGGCCCCAAAATTAATCAATATTCGTACTGCATAGCGCGACGACCTTTTCAGAGACTAAATTTGATGCTATGGTACAGGCGTTCAGCGGCCTCACTAGCGCGGTTTCCCACAGTGTGGTCGTGTGGTCAACCAGGGTTACAGTGTCCCGACTTGCACTCCTGCTCTTCATCGAGGGTTCGGGAACGTCGATGCTTCATCGATTGTTGGTACTTTAACGAGGGTCGGTTGATGCAGTTTAGGTGCTGTTGTGCTTGGCGTTTAAACTTCCGCGCACAGAAAGCACGCTTATAGGGTTCCGCTACGCAGATTTGTGGCGGAAACTTCCAGTAGTGCCGCCCAACTTGTGCTCTTGATTTCACCCGTCCAACTAAATCCCGGTGGAGAACCTTAATACCTACTTGGATCATCTTGCTTACGCAGCGGCATGACACCAATGATATCGGTTACCGTCAAGGTGATGCATGCGATACATCCTTCACACCTGACTCCAGCTTGCAAGCAAACATCTTGGAGCCAGAGATTTTAAGGCCATCAGTCGTTTAGTGGGTTTGGGGTCATCCCAAAACTGGTGATGACAAACCCCTTCAAAAGCTATGTTCTTGGACTGTTTCTTGTCAGTTAATTTAACTGCGCCTGAATAGCAAACTAAAAGTCTCCGGTTCCTGAAGTCATCCTTGGGACAAACTGTTGGCATTGGGTTGCCCAGGGTGAGTTGTCGGCAAAGTTACGTTCCTGAACCTGTTATTGCTGTTGTGCAAACTGAAATCCAGCTCGGCCTGAGCATTGCCTAGATTAAGATTCAGTATTTGTCTGGGCGCTGCGTACAGCGTGAGCGCTGAAAAAACCTGGAGCTCGCTCGGATATCATTTGCAAAAAGATCACGTAGAGCGCCGGGATATTCACCGGTTGTTTCGTTGGGCTACTGTATATGAGCTGGGGAAGCCAATGAATCGAAATGGTATCCATGGCCAAACAGAAGGAGGACTGAATGGAGTCATCCAGTCGGGACAAGATAAAATATCTATGTTGTTCAGGAGATACTGACGTTATGATCAGCTCCGGTGGAAGAATTATATAGGACCATTGTCCAGAAATTTCACGAGGCTGACGCGACGTTCGTCCCAAAGAAACCGGCACACACCCGGATGAACCGCAGGATCCTAAAAAGGAT